CCCCCCCCCCGAGGGGCAGCATCTTGCATTTCTCCATATTGAATGCCATCTTATTATGTAGAGTTCAGATGATGGTTTGTATGGGATGGTTTGGATAGGGAGGATCCTGCCTCAGGCAGGGAGTTGGACTAGATGACCTCTACAGGTCCCATCCAGCCCTACTTCTCAAGGATGAGATGATCCCTTGGGCCATTTGTGTGGTTGAGTGACATTGAAAGTTGGATTTATTATCCATAAGGCAGAATCGTAAGAGTATACAGCAATATGACAAATCGGTATATGATCCTTCCCGTCTCCCCTACTGACCTAAATGAACAGGGGGGGATTCCACTTATCGTCCCCATGGGCAACATCCTGCGCAGACAGAGATATGCTGTGTGGACAAAAGGGCCCAATCATCTGGAACAGCTCACAAGATGCGAGCAAGAGTCTCTGCTAAACAAGGTAGTCTTTTTGACATGGAAATATGTCCTAAATGCTGCTATTAAGATAAAACAAACATTTTGGCAAGTAAAGTGGATGGGATGGGGATGCTCAAAATAAATATTTTAAAGATACAAGGCAACACATGCACGTTAAAGATAAGCCAGTGAGCAAAAATGTGTACCTGCTAGAACAACAGAGCTACTAAGAAAACAACCAGAGGGTAGAGATTTCAGGAAATTTAATCCATTTTTGCTTTAGCTATTGAGAAGGAAATAGCTGTCACCCTTTCTTAAAAGTAATTAAGCTTCAAACCTTTTGGGGAATAAATTATCCCTTTTGAGGGATAGATTTATCAACAAGCCAATGGAGAGTCTTGAGAAACTGAACATTAAGGCAGCACAGAGTGGAGCAGGATGCATCTCACAGGACTGGAGCCAACAGACGAGAGTGCTGGAAACCAGATGTAGCTTTCATTGCTGGTGGAAGACAGTGTGTAGCACTGAAGAGGGGAAATCCCTCTGACATGGACATGGGGAACATAGGTATGTTGGATGGGGGGATATGGCAATTTTTAATGAAAGTCAGGGAGGAATGGAGGAAGTTGCCCAATCTCCCTCTAAATTTCCCCCAGAGTAGAACTTGATGGTGCATGTTTCTTTGTACACCCCTTGTAGACTTGATAACTGAAAACTCTCTCACCTTCTGGACAGTGTGACAGCTGAAGCATAGGTGCTAGTATATTTGCATCCCATTCAAGACTATAATGCTGTATAATATACAAGGGTTAGGCATGTAATATTAATTTCTTCATTTGTGTGAGGGGAGAATTTAATATATAGAACTTTTACAATCTTTTCTCCAATGCCTGATGAAGGGTGTTTGTGCCCGAAAGCTTGCAATTAAAGATTTTTTTTTTTGCAAAAATCTTGTTGGTCTAATAAAAAATATAATCTCTACTACAGTCCTGATTGCTTTAACAGTTTTCTTGACTGTAGGTTCTGGCTATGTCAGATCTGGGAAAACAGCATGATTGGAAGTCATCATTTTGACTTGGAAATTATAGCTTTGAAGCCCCATTTAAGTCAGATTACTGTTTATACCTCTAGTATTGTAGAAAGTCACAAACTGCTACTTATTCTTGTGTAGATTCCCTTGGTAGATGCATCTAGTATTTAAAAAAATCTGGTTCAAAGTAGATGCCATAAGTCAGATTCTTTTCAAGCTTGGTGGTAACTCAGTATAATTTATTTCAGTTTAATCAGACCATGGTAATATCTCTTTGTCAAGGTCCTCTCATGTTAAGAGGGCAGTGCTAGCCATCAGTATTTCAACAGAATGTGAGAGATTCATGGCTATTATTATTACTTTAACATCAAAGACAACTTGTCTTTTAAGTATTTATAAACTGGATGCCAAGTGAATCTGAGTTATAAATATAACTGCTCTCTTACGTCTCTGCTTTCACCTTGATTTTTGACCTGTTACTTTGGTAAAGGACCCACAGTCCTTCGTCTGTGCAAGGATGCACTCTGTGGAATATTCTGCTCTTATATAAATGTATTATGGAAGAGTTACTGGAAGATGACTCAGTATAAGGGAAACATCACTGCCCTGCGATTTGATCATATTTTACAGTCCAGCTATGAATATCTTGTTGGAAGTCGAGGCTTAGGCTCTTCTGAACTAAGCAGCACTTAATTCTGATCTCATCAGCGCCATGTGCTATTTTATCACCCTCTTCTTTAGAATAAAAAAAAAAAAAACCCCACACAAGCCGTTTGTGCTGTGCACGTTTCTTCTTCCAGCTGAACAGTCCCGAAGTGGGGGAAACTCCGCAGCAGGGACTTCATGCTGGTCGCGTAGAAAGACACTTCCCTCCACCTTCTCTTCCCCTTTCGCCTCCTCTCCTGCTGAGTTTATTTAATCAACTGCGGGTTTTGACTCTAGCAGCACAGCTCACGACGTCCTGGCCGGTTTCCCAACAGCGGAGGAAAGGCTCGTCCCCGGCACCGTCTGCTTAAGGTGGATCCGGGCCGCTCCGTCGGCCCCGGTCCCGGGGCGCTGCATGAAGCTGGTCTGCCCCCCGGGGCGGCGGCGCGAGCCTTGTTTCTGGACGCGGCTGCGGTGTCTGGACGCGGGGGGAACGGGACCCGAGCAACCCGCCGCCGCCCGCGCTCCCGCCAGCTCTAGGACCCGGCGCCGCGCGGTTGCAGCCCGCCGGGCCCGGACGCAAGTGCCGGCAAGCGGCGCGGGGGCGGTGCAGGGAAGCGAGCGGGCTTTCCCGACAGCCCGGACCCCGCAGCGCCGGGTTCCCGGCACCCTCCGACGCCAGCTGCGGGGTGCAGCCCCGTGCACAGCTGGGCCTGGGCGAGGGACCCTCGCGCACTTCCTCCTTTCCCCCGAGGCGCAGAAGGGCTCCAGGCAGCGGCGTCCTGCCACCGAGGCTCCCGCTCAAGTGCGAGTCCGGAGCCCGCGTCCGAGCTGAGCAGGCATCACCATCACCACCACCACCATCATCATCATCAATTCATCACCATCACCGCCATCAGCATCACAGTACCCCCAGGCACCTGTGTCCGGCTGGGGCGGCTGGAGAACTGAGCAGGAATCACCTTCATCATCAATTCACCATCACCACCACCATCAATTCACCATCATCATCACACCCCCAGGCACCTGTCTCCAGCCGGGGCGACTGTAGTGCCTGCCTCCAAGCTGAGCAGGAATCACCATCATCATCAATTCACCACCATCATCACACCCCCAGGTGCCTGTCCCTGGCTGGGGCGATCGCAGAGCCTGAGTTTCACCTTTTCCCCTGTTGAAAATGAGACTTGCTCTGCAGGCAAAACACGGGTTTTACAAATTATCCTGTGGTATGACTAAGGAGATCCCCCACCCAGCCCGGTTCCAGGGAAGGGAGGTTACCGTAAAGCAGAAACAGGAGAGGCATTTTGCAGAACTGTCTTGTTTTGCTTGAAGTTTTTTTCTTTTGTTAACTTATTTATAGAGGGGAGAGAGAGAGAGAGAGAGAGAAACCCCCGAAACCTCCTGCCTTTGAGAAAATGCCAAACTCTGAGGAGAGTCTGTTTACATCTGTTTGAATCCTGAAATAAAGACTCTCTGAAATAGATACTTAAAATTGAGATTCCCACTTCATCTCTGGGATTTTTGTTCTTAACTTGGTTCTTGCTGTATTTAAGATAATTAAAAATGTACCAAACAGAAGCCAAATGGATATCACAGCTACATACTTCATCTCTGGTACTGGACTCTCTGCTTCTACGGAGGTCACTTTCAACAGGGATTGCAAAGGAAAACCTCAATTCAGTGATTTATAGCCAAAATACCCATTAATCACAATGTGAATGTGACAGGAGGGCAGGGTGGCTCCTTGGAGACTAACTGGCTTAGAGGCATTGACTTTTGTAGGCAACAACTCACTTCATCAGGTACTATGACAAAGTAGCATCTGACATAGTAGGTTGTTGCTTGTGAAAGGTCATGCCTCTGAATCAGCCCCTGAGGTGTCAACCTGCCCTATCTTCTGCCTGGCTTCGGACTAACACACTTACCAACCACTTCACTGCAAGTTTGAATGTTCTTTCCTCAGATGAACCCAAGGTGCATGAGATTTAAACAAAGGCAAAGAGAATTTTTTATCCCAGACACTTCTCAGTATATTTATTCACTGAACAGCAGGGGACCATCACATGCAGATCACATGTAACATCACATGTCAATCAGTGACCTGTACCTTAAAAGAAATGCCTGGTTGATTGCTGCTGTTAGGGATCTTATTGATTTAACAGGAAGGGGTTATATCCTTGATAGCACATAAGAGGGATCTTTTAAGATTATTTGCCCCACCTGCCCAAAGTCTGCCCGAGACTGAGGTGAGTGAAACACTTTAGCACACTTTAGCAGGTTTAGCACACCTGCTCACATACTCATTTCCGCACTGTCTTTAGAATCCAGAGATTTTAGGCTTGTGCAGCAGAAAGTGAAAGTGATTCACCTCTATGAAGAAAATGGAAAGTATTGCAAAAAGTAAGAAAAAGCTTTTTTTTACGGTGCTTTTATATTTAAGGGGTGTTGGTTGTAGCTGTGTTGGTCTAAGGACGTAGGCAGACAAGGTTCTTTGGATAAATGTGATATCTTTTATTAGACCAACTAAATAGTTGGAAAAATTCTTTGCAAGCTTTGGCGTGCAAACACCTTTCTTCAGGCAGAGGGAGCATCTGAAGATGTTCCCTCTGGCTAAAGAAAAAAGTGTTTGTTCCTGAAAGCTTGAAAAGAAGAATTTTTCCAACTATTTTAGTTGGTCTAATAAAATATATCAGATTTACCCAAAGAACCTTTTTATATTTAAAGTACTTTCCAAATATTAGTTACTGCTCAGAGCATTCCTGTGAAGCAATAAGAATGATTCCCAATCTAGTAATAGGATGACAGAGGGAAAAAGGGTCTTATGCTACAGACAGATCAACAGGGCAGTGGGTGTGGATTGAGGCTTAGATTGGGGTTTACTGTTGGGGTTTAGAATTCGGAGTTTCTATTTCCTGTTGAAACAGGCTACACCTATTTTAGTTCTCTCTCCTTTCATGTTCAAATCTGCCCACTTACCCTCTCTCTGCTTGCTTTTTACTTGTATTGATTATCTTTTTTACTCTGGTCCATCTTTCTCACTGTTTTGTTTTTTTTTGTTCAGAGTGAAACCAGTTCTCCTGGATTTGCTTCTCTTTACATTAAGATTTGATTAGAATATTCATGATTTTCTGTGTCTGCTTTGTTTCCAGTATACATCAACTGAAGCTGCAACTATCTATCCTCATACTCTGAAGGTAAAACACACGAAGCTTGGAATGAAAACTGAAATTGGGACAAAAAAAAAAACAACTGTTAGTGCAAAACAGTCCAGTAGTCCTTGGAGTAGGACTAATCATCCCAGCTATTGCCCAAGAGGGATCACTGTGCCATCACAGAATTCTAGAGTAACATTTTTAAAAAAATGCCTAATGACTTGAAAGTCCAAGTCCCATTTTCAAAACTGATTCATATACTTATGAGTCAAGTCTTTCTGTGAGACTTAAATTAGACACATACAAGCTTACACATATAAAATGGGACTTAAACTCCTATGTGATTTTTCCTTTTCCTAGATCCAAGATGAAAACATTTTTTAACATCCAAGTGTTTGGTGCTTTATGGACTTCATTTTTCACTCTGTGAAATATATTTGGGAGGAACCTACTAGGTTTTTATATTTTTTTTCCTAAAAATCTATGGGATTGAATAAAAAATGCTGTTCTTCCTATATGTATACAAAATATACTATAGAATTTGAGGCAGGAATACAATTTCCTCTTAAATCTATAAGAATTTTCTGTAAGAGTTTTCCTATGTGTAGGTGAGCATGTTTCCATGTCTTGGGTGAGAATGTAAATAAAGAGCTGGAGAAAAGATATTTTCCTGATAAAACATTTATCCTTCCCATTAACTGAAGGGCTGATTGCTCCCATATAGGCTGGTACTCTCCCAAGAAAACAGCTAACAAAATATGGAAGAGGCGGGATTTGACATTATATTTCTAACTTAAAAATCAAGCAGAAATTTAAAAATAAGTATGTATTCCAGGTTTCCTTAAGAAAATGAGCATGGATCCACACTTTGCCTCTTCATCATGGAATCTTTGAAATAAGGCTGCCTTCACTCTGCTCAAAGTAATAACTTTTTAGAGCATTGCAAATTTAAAGTGAGTGATCTTGCATAACAAAAAGTGATGTAAATTCTTGATACCGTCATCTTATAATTGATTGCACTTTTACATAAATGTGATTTAATACTATTTAAATTGTTGGAACTTGTCACTGATTTGTGTCACAAGCGGGGTCCTACAGGAGGGCCGTGATCTCCTTAAGGCCCCCTTCCCGTGCCAAGTTGGCCCAAGGGCACCCTCAGTTTCTCGCCCACCATGTCTTTGATGTTAAAATATGTTAAGGGAGGCTGCCTTTTCCGCCCTCTTGGTCACTTCGATGGATCCTATGACCCCGTGGTTTCCCGGACCCCTTGGGGTCCTGTTCTGTAAATGATGCTGTAAGGGGCACCCTAGCCTTAGGGGCTACGCGTGGCTCCTACCACCCCAATACCACGCCCCAAGCCTCACAGATGGAATGGACGTTGTTCTGTCCAGGTCTACAATCTCTGGCGCTCGGGCCTTCCGTGGCCCTGTCTCTCTCCGCACCCTCTCTCTGGGGCCTTCTCCACAATGCTGCCCCTCCTCTGTAAAGGCCGCCCTCTTCCCCGGGGTCCGCCGCAATGCTGCCCCCTTCCCCGGGGTCCGCCACGCCTGCACTGGGGCTTCTCAGTAATGCCCCCTCTCTGGGGCTCACCACGCCTGCACTGGGGCTTCTCGGTAATGCCCCTTCTCTGGGGCTCCTCAACTGCCCCTCTCTAGGACTGGGGTCTATGCAGCCCGAATGCTGCGCCCTCACCAGCGCTGGGGTCCTCACACTCCGCTGTGAGTCCCCTATGAGGATGCTGCGCCCTTACTGGCGCTGGGGTCCCCACTCTACTGTGAGTCCCCTATGAGACCTCCTCCAACCCCTAATAGCCTCACCCAAACCAACGGTGTAACAGCAAAAGAAAACACAAGCCCCTAGGCTATAATATAACTTAAAGCTGCCTGGCTAAAACCACGTTGCTCAAACATCCCAGGGTTGCGATCCTGGGCTGTACCTGCAGTCAGGCTTCTCCTTGCATCTTTGCTCAGGGAGCTCCCTCCTCTCTGGCTGCGGGCAGGGAACTGCCAGCCTGGCCTCAGCCCCTGGGCTTTATAAGGGCCAGACCCTGCCCCTTCTGGTCAGCTGACCTTCCCTGGTTGCACCAGCAACCCGCAGCTGGGCTTCTTATTCACTGCTAGGGCGCTTTCCCTAGCAGTTTCTCCTTTTTAGGAGCAGGGCACCTGAGTGCTCTGCGACAATTTGTAACCAGTTATATTTTTGGAGCCTAGTTCTTATTTAACACCCATCTGTGGAAATCGAAATTAACTAGTGAAGTCACTGGAGTTGCCTCTGTATCAAACCCATTTCAATAGAACCTCTGACTTTCAAATCGGTGGTGCTCAACCTGCCAGGCCCTGCAGGCCAGATTGAGTAGGGTGGTGCTAATCTGCAAACCAGATCTTGCACGTGAGGTCAGTCGATGGGCCTGATCCAGCATGGGGTTGGTCTGTGTGCACTGTGGCCTGGTTCTATACATTGGATGGAGCCATGCACAATCCTAGCCCTGTGTGCAAGATGCAGATGCATGCCAGCCACTAACATAATCCAGTGCATAGAGCCATGTCATCTGGCCCATGGGGCTCCCTATGGGTCCAGAAATTTGGTCATGGGTGAGCAGTCATAGTGTTGGTTGATGTAGCAATTAATGCTGACTCTGCTTCCTCACTGCCAAATTTCCAGACCTGTGGAGAGCCTCACTGGCTGGATAACATGGCTCTGTGGGCCAGAGGTTAAGCATCATTAATTTAAATAGTTCCTTTGACTGCAGAAGTTTTAGAAGCTACCTCAGTAAAAACTCATTGCACCCATCTGCTTCTTCATAAGATGAAAATGCAATTTGTGGAATATTATTAGTGCTGTCAGTGTGTACTCTATGCCTTTTAAATTAGAGTAGAGATTCTTTTTTCAAAATAATTTTTTATGAAAAAAGGAAATTTGAGCAAAGTAACAATCTTTTCAGAAAATCTCCTTTTGGCCCTTCTTTAATTGTTTTGCCTTGGCAGGGTGGGAGGGGGGAATGCCTACCCCCTTTGTCCGCTAAGAAAAAATAGGTAGTGTGGGAGGGCACTGTTGGTGCCTGCTACTTTAAGGGCTGAGCCAAGCAGCCAGCAGGTGCTTGATTGCGGTGGCCATTTTAGAACTCTGGCTGCCTATATAAACAGAGCAGTTCACTACTAGCAGAAACATTGCTTGGCTGAAAGGCTGTGTGAAACATCCTGGAGGTAAGGACAGGAGCTTAGGTGTGTGCTAGATAAATCCTATGGCTGAAGGGGCCCGCTCTGAGAGGGAACAAGACAGTATACATTGTCAATGTGTGAAAGAGACCCTGTGAGAGGGGGTGAAGCATGAGAGGCCCTAGTGAGAGGAGGGCAGTATGAATGTGTGTGTGTCTGAGGCCTGACAATGAAAGCTAAGCTTGGTTCAGCTATAGGCCGAGAACCTTTTGTCACCTGGATGCCATCTGCAAGGCTTGGGCTGTGGTGTAGGGGAGGAATGGTGCCACTGGCATTGGGGCAAGAATGGGCAGCCTCCCACCTTATTAGAACAATTAAGAAACAACAAGGTGTGGCAGGCGAGGAGGTGGGCAGTTAGCCCAGAAACAGGTGGGCGGGCCAATGGTAGACCAGCCCCTAGAGCCCCCTGTTACAGGTAGGAATTAAAAAGTAAGAGCAGGAGATTTTTCCCTTGAAACTTTTCGGAAAAGTTTATTTGAATTTCATCAATAAGTTTAAAACAGCTTCTCTGGGTTTTTTTTAGTTTTTTAAAACACACTATTGACCAGCTGTTTTAAATAGTCAAACAAAGGAAGAAACCAGCCCTTCCCCATGGAGCTCTGAGTGCAAAGTTTTCTAGATCAAAATAAACAGGCATATGTATAGTGGGCCAAACTCATTTGTAATTTCAGTGTTATTGTATCAGATGCAACTCTGGCCTAGTAAGTCACCTGACTTCCTCCCCCTTGCTTTTTTTCCCCCCTGGACAAAGAAATTACAATGCAAAAGCAAGCAGGGCTTGAGAAATGAAGGAACAGTGTCAAGATTACATTTACTAAATTAAATTAATCTCTGGTGTAACTCCACTGAAGGATGGGAAAGATGGAGAGGTAAGGCACTAGTCTAGGACTTGTGAAACTCTGTTTCAGTTATTTGCTTTGCCATATGCTCTTTGGGTGGCCCTGGGCAAGAACCACAGAATACTTATGCATCTAACTCCTATTTAGCCTAATTTAATGGTATCTCTCTATCAAGTTCTTCATCAGTAAATTGGCATATAATGATATACATGCCTCTGCAGTACGTTAAGGATTAAGCAGCACTCAAATACAATGAATAATGAGGGTATAGGCATACAAATAGCATAAGGAGCTTTGATCTATGATTGAATTTTTCTTGCACGTTTATGTGAGTAATACAAAACTGAATGTATGATTCTATGTTAGAAATATTTGGCATTTACTGGGGATAATAGAATTCAAGAGTTGTGTCTAGAAAATCAGGTAAAATATAGATATTCTAAGGAACATCGGAAACTATATAGCTTTTTTCAAGAAAAATTGTAAATGTTGCTTTTAGTTCTTGTTTCTGGACAACATGAAAATATCTCTCTCCCTCTCTTTCTCTCTCTGAATTTTGGTGTACCTAGTTTAAAAATTAAAAAAACCCAAAACCCACCTTTATCATCTAAACCAGAAATAGCCATTACTTTGTTTATGGTGAGTGATAATGAAGGCCAAGTCACTGGATGAATTCCTGACAGGAGTGAAAAATACTGGCAGAACAGCAAATGGAAAGCTGATAAGTGGCTGCATTTCCCCTAAGTAGCCTTGTCTCGAGTATTAGGATTCACCTATTTGCTCAGGATTTAGGAACATAGAGTTGTTTTGCATTGTCACAGTTCTGCTTTGGAAATGTTGTTCTCTTTGTATTTTTTCTGTAGTACCCTACCTGATTTCATTTTCTTTGATGTCCTGTTCACATACCTAGTCACTTGCACAAGTAATTATTGCCTTTCTTCATTGAAAAGTGTACTTTCTTTTCAACTTCTGTAGACCAGATTCTTGGCTCATGTCAATTAGAATTAATGAAGTCATGCTAATTTATATGGGCTGAAAATCTGGCCTTATCTTTGCATTTATTCTATGGCCAGAATACATCCAGGAACTTATCTCCACTCCAGTACCTCCTGTTCTAAGAATTAATTTGCAGTTTAATCTGAGTTTTAATGTCTCCGTCAATTACCAATACTGTTCCTTTATGTTCAACCCAATGCAGCAAGACTGCTGAAAACTTTTGTCAGTTCTGTTTTCTTGTACTTCTATTAAAGCACCTTGATGTAGAATATTCAGTGCGTTTCAGAGGTGCTCTCTTTAATAGATGTCTTTCAGCTGATAGCATCTCCTCAGTGACTTAATTTCAAGGAAACAATCAGCAATTTGGCTAAAATGCCTTTCAAAGGCCAGTAGCATTTTTAGTTACTTTAAACATATACTTTAAACTACTGTAACAAAGTACGAACTGTACAGTACATGGCTGATGGCAGTGTTACAATACTTATTCATGACAACACCCAAGCAGTAATTACAGTGACAACCGTTTGATCAGAATACCTACAACCGGGCTAGTGAGAGATTCTAGCCATCCCATGCTGGCTGTCTCTAGCAGATCAGTTTGCACTAGCAAAGAATACTTAAATCTTTCCTGCCTCTCTCTTTTTTTTTTTTTTTTTATTCCCCAAGATTTCTCATTACATCATATTCTTCTGAGTCCTAGAAACTGGTCAGAACTATCCCACACATTGGTGATGCATTGGAGGAGCATGGGGGGGGGCACTTGCCCCCCACCTCCAGGTTTAATGTTAATTGATTTTTATCATATCCCCAATACCACTGGGCCGGTCTGGGCACTCCAGAGCCTGGTGCGCAGCTCTGATGGCGCCAGGGCAATCTGGGTACACCAAAACCCCACTGCATACCACCAGAACCTTGAAATTGTGTTTTCCCCCCCCAATATCAACAGTCGCATATGAGCCCAAATGTCCATACAAACTTATCTTCTCATACTCAATACACAAACCA